ATGCGTATCCCTTGCGGCATAGCATATATTTAACAATTTTTTTAAAGCTAATTTTTATTTATATTTATATATAATATTTATATATTTATATATTTATATATATATTATGTCCCAAGTTAGTGTGCCGCTTAAAAATATATATATGGCAGTTATCGAAACGCAAACGAATTCGTTTGCGGAGAAATATGAAATTAAAATAAACGTGCAGGGCGAGAAGTTGTGTGTACGTACAGTCGTTGCAAATGAACGTGCATCGCGCAATTGAGCTGTTTACAATAGATAAAACAAAGGCAAAAATTATAAATTATACAACGCTTATTTCCTTCTTAAGACGAGCAACAACACATATCAAATCACTGCATAAGCTCTGATAAAAGTTCTTTCTAAAATAAAAACATTATAGTTTCTATAACTTGTAAGTAATTTTATTTTTATTTCTAAACTTTTATCTAATATAATATAAAAAGATTAAAAAATTTACTTTTCAATTATTTCAACATTCTCTTGCAATTAAAACAAGAATATAAATATATTCTAAGGCATTATTTCTTGAGTTTTTAAAGCATTATTTCAACATTGAAATATTTAAAATATTAAAAAAGATAAAATATATATGGCTTGTAGAAAATTATAGAAAGAAGTACATAACAAATACATATTATTTCAAATGACAGATCATTTGTCGACTTTTCATATTTGACTTATTATATTTTGTTTCATGTAATGTAATTTCTCTTTATTTTGAACAGCATGAATTTAAGATTGAATTCTTATTTGACTTTCAAATATCTAGAAAACTTTTGCAGCAACATGACATTAATAATAAAATTACAAAGACAAATGATCGTCTTAATGACATTAAAAAAAAAAACAATATAAAATACCATATTAAATTACAGGATCTATCTTGTATTGTGTTATCATTATTGCGTTGCCATGCAAATATGCCAAAAAAGTAGAGAATTAATTTTGACGATCAATATCCATATTCGAGTAACTCGATCACGCTAACGTGGGACATTATCGAATGTGTGTATGTATGTATGTGTGTGTCATTTTCTCAACTAGCGATATATTGCAAAGTGTGTTCGAAAATTTTTTGAAAAAAATTTAAAAAACGCAATTAGAGACTTTAAATGGCCTACACGCGCGTGAAAACACATACAGACAGCTGCTGAAATATTTTCTATTAATTTTTTTTTTTTTTTTCTTTCTGGCGAATAATATTCGAAGATGATAGGCGTATTTCATAAAACGACACGAATGTTATAATAGCAAGTTGAATTGTCCTTCGATTCATTTTTTTTTTTTTAATTTTTTTTCAAACACCATGTCCGCGTGTATGTCTCCTAATTTTAATAATCAGCGTTGCTTTTTTTTTTTTTTTTTTATTTGTTAACCACGTAGAGCGACGAAACATTTCTTTTAAACTGTGTGTGTTGTGCTGAGCGGCTTATACCGAACTTCACTGCTCCAGTTTAGCTGAAAATTGGCAAACAAAGCAAACGTTAAATTAAAAAAGTGTTAACGCACCGTGCGTAGAAGGCATGTGTTCGTGTTTTCTGTTACAGTTTTATATGTAACAGGTAATTTTTTATAAATGAGGCGTAGAGCTAAATTATTCTTATTTATCTTTTTTATATTTTACGACATAGTTAATAATAATATTCATCATTTTTGAAAAAATTTAATAAAAATTATATGTGTACGTTGAAATCAAAACTTACATTTAAAATAGAAAAATTTAATCAAAAATGTACGTGTATTCTTTAACAAATATATTTAAAATAAAATTTTCTATAAATTCTAAAGTGTACAAAATAAAATAAAGCGCTCTAGCCTCTTTAAAATTTAATATTCATAATATTGGGCAAGAATAAGTGTTGAATATCCATAAACACAGTGTAGTCGATTTTTGACCTTTCCATTTTTTTTTTAAATTATTTGATCTCTAGTCCATTTTGAAATTTAATTCAATTTAAATCATACAATCCTTTCATTTATATATTTTTTTTAAAAATAATAAAATGGATAAGTTAAAATAGACCACCATGTATTGTATATGAAGACAATAGTACTACGTTTTAAAAATATCTTCTGATGCTGCTAAATGAATGCTATACTATCGCTCAATGACACGAGCAAATACGGATGCTACACACATAAATGTGGACAATTAAAGTAAGTTAATGCATGAACCAGCTCTGTCTTTTAGTTTGCACGCGTCTAAATGTCGCGTGAAGAGCCAAAAATTTACCTCCACAACAGTGTTATATCTTACTCAAAACCAAGATGACGATGTTCTCTGAAAGTTTTTTTCCGATCAGCAAAAAAGCGTGAACAAATGATATAATATGATGATATAATGAAGCAATGACAAAAGGATGGCCACAATATAATCCAACAATGATATACAGATAAATCATGTGTGTCTACGCATAGATAATAATAACATTACATGATACTAGAGCGAACGAAAGAAACGTTTCATGAAAAAGCAATGAAAAATGCGAATAAGAAGCACCTTGTGAACTGAGCTTTGGTTTGGTGACACGATTAAAATGATTGTGTTTCATATTCTCTTCTCTTCTTGAATACTTTCTAGAATAAGCCAAATATATTCGGTTTTGAAGTCTTGAAATGTTTTGTCGCTAAAGTACAGCTGTCGTTTAGGAATAATAATCATCCATCATCGCATTTCGTTGATCCGCAATTGTTAATGTTTCACTTTGTAAAAGTGAAATCGTTTCTTGATGGAATGCGATATTTTTTTTCACTTTGCTTTTAATCTTTCTCTTAGTTTTCTTTGATCCATATACATTTATACTTTCAAATATTTCAATATTCTTTGACTCTATTAATAAATAATATAATTCATAAAATTCTACAATCTTCAAATGCAATAATTTCTGAATTCGTTAATAACACATCAAAATTTTTTTTT